ACCTGGGACTAAGAAAGTTCTGGTTCTTAAAGACATTATAGCCACTAAAGAATTGCTAATTTACCCAGAAATATCAAGAAAATGGTTTGAGGACATCTCAGGAGTTGGCAAGAACACACTCACACTCATCTCAGATTCAGAGGCATAAATGTAAGAGTTTCTTTGATTAGAGACAATGGGGGTACCCTGTTTGCACAGTGAGGCCTAGGAAATTTTTTTTCACTGTGCTCAGCTACTCAGACCCTCAAAGCCTGCTGCGGTTATGGACTTGGGAGACTTGGCTACTGCTTAAGATAGTAGCATACAGTGAAGTCCATCACATGATTCTGGTTCTGAAAGAATAAAGGATGCTGGAAGTCAGGGGTCATGGAGGATTTCATCAAGATTTCAAAGAAAGGCATGAAAAGTCAGGTACAGTGTATCAAGGTCAGAGTTCCTGCAGACTGTCCCCAAGAGAGTGATGTGGAAAGTTGTGAGAAGGAAGCCAAAGCTTTGGTGGAAACCCCTGAGATTAAGAGATGTCAGACCATGGAGGATCTGCCAAAGAAATCTGTAGGAATTGAGCAGAGACAAGTCAAGAGAGAGTCCATGTTGATTGTAACTTGGAAGGTAATAGGGGCAAAGCCCTTCAGCGAGAACATCATGAAGCCATGTGCCCTAGATACCAGATGTGGAGCTATAAGACTTGTTTGTCCAGCTGGATTTCAATCTAGCTTTTGTCCTACCCCTTCTTTCTATGCTCCTGTTTTTCTCTTATTGAGTGGAAATGTTTCCTCTGTGCTATTATATATTGGATATATGCAACTTGATGTTGATGTTTATAGGGGAAAACATCCATGAGTTTTCCTTGAGTCTCAGAGGAGACTTTAGACTTGGGCTTTTGGGCAATTCTGAAAGTGATAAAACTATGGGGACTCTTGGGAATGGACTTAATGGACTTTTGGGGGCCAGTGACAGAATGTTATGATTTAGATAATGAAGTGTCTCCCCAAAGCTCATGTGCAAGACAATGTAAGAATTTTTCAGAGGCAAACTAATTCCAATTATGAAGATTGTGACCTAATTAGTAGATTAATCATCTGATATGAATAAATTGGGTGGAAACTATAGGCAGCTGTGGCTGGATGAGATAGATCACTGGAGGCATCTCTTTGGGGTTTATATTTTGTCCATGGTGAGTAGAGCCTTCTCTACTTCCTGATTGCCAAGCCCTAAGCTTCTATCCTCCCCCATACTCTTCTGCCATGATGTTCTGTCTCACTTCCAGACCAGAATAATGGACTTGGCTGTCTATGGACAGAAACCTTTGAAACAGTGAGCCTCAAATAAGCTTCCTTCCTCTAATTGTTCTATCAGATCCATTCTTTTGGTTACAACAAAGCAAAAGTTGACCAAAGGAGGTTATATCCCTATAAGTCAGAATAATAATAGCTGCATCTCAAGTTACTTGATGTGATCATATCATAAATGTCCCTCCTGCCACATACAGGATGATTTTCAGGTTCTGGAGATTGGGACATGGGCGTCTGGAGTAGGATAGGAAGAGCTCTTAATTGACTCATCATTCTGTGATTAATATTTATATCTAACATTTCTTGAATAAAATTTAAATAGATAATATTCTGAATATTATCTTTTTAGCATTAATGGATAGTTTCACTGTAGTATTGTTTTTACTGTTCTAGGAAATCCTTCACCTCTAGTAAAATTTTTTTCGACATCACTCTGTATCTTGGCATATGACATTTAAAAGCTCTCCCTAAATGCATATTAAGTACCAGGGAGGGTATGTTCTCCCACATTTTGGAATTTTTCAAATTCTATTTGAAATATGTTCATTTTACTAATTTCTATAAAAGTATATCTATCACATTATTCATGAGTTGGCTGTATGTTACAGAATACTTGGGAGTTTGTGAAGACAGCCATCTACCTCCTTGATCTCTTCTTTCCTTTTCTCATCCCTAACTTAACTGCTGTTCCTCTTCTTATCATACTTCTTAGAGTAGCCTGACATCTCCAAATTCTTCTATAGTCTATGAAAATCAGTTCATTTTTTTGAAAACTTTAATTATCAAACTTTAAATATCATCCTAAACCACTTCAGAGAAAAGAGCCACCATTTAAGAGGTTTCTGTGTTTATTGAAAACAGCTGTGGCTGTAAGTGTCGAAATAACATTTTATCCCCCCTAATTGTAAATATACTTTTATAATTTATTTTAAATATATATCATTATCATATATAATCTAAAATAATGCTAAGTAGCTTCTATTCTTTGGTATGGATGTATGAGTATTATCTTACTGGCATTCATCATTTATTAATTCAATTTGCTTTATTAAGTGCTCACTACAAATACCAGGAACTTCCTAATTACAAATCCAATAAAGAAGAATAAAACAAAAGGTCTTAATGTCATTGGATCACAATTTTATTGATCTGCTTTAGCCATTGCCCATCCATAATTTTACTTTGACTAGCATCTTTGGTGAACTGACTTATACCCACCCACGAGTAATGGTCAAGATAAATTGATGGCAGTAGAAGGCTTAAGCTTAATACTACTACAAATGCTCTTCATTACCTCAATCCCAGTTGCCATACAAACAGAAGTTTAAAGTAGGATAATTCTGGAAAATATACTTGATGTTCTGAATACGCTAAAGACAAATACCTAACATGTTGAGATCTCAGAAATTTTAATTCCTTTATGCACCCACAATACACCTGTACCTTGCAAAGCAGAATTATAACATGGCAAGAACTATATTTTACTTATTCATGTGACTTCCTCCTTGGAAAGCATATAATTCAATTAAAATGATTGGATTATTAGATACATATATTAAATACATATATCCAAATATTTAACAAGATAATAACAACTTCCATTTATGGTCAATTAACTTTGTGCCAGATATTGTGCTATATTTGATATTTGCATTGGCTAATTTTTATCCATATCACATTTTTAAGAAAAATAAAGTTCTGGGGAGGTAGGTAACTTGTCCACAGCCATGTAGCTCTCTGTAACTTTGATATTAGCTGTTACCCTTTATCACTCCATAGTTGTAGTGAATTATAATTATCTTGCAGAATCACTACTCCTTGACTATATTATAAAGTCTAAAAATGGTAATTTTCACTCATATTTTTCTGTATTACCAGCACTAAGCTCAGAGTCTATCAATGTGAATGTGTTCAGTGACTATTTCTGGAATGAAGTGATTCATCTTTACAGAATTCTTCAAGATGGGGAATCAGTGCAGAGCCTGTGGAGACTGGGAGAGCTGTAACCCATTAGATAAAGAGTGAATTGAGCTATAGAAATTGGGTCATGATCATCTCCTAGTATTTTTTTCTCATAGATAATGTTCACTTCAAAAGAAGTTTCAGGTGAGGGTCAGGTACACCAAATTTGATATCACATTA